CATAGACCGTCCATAGGGTTCACATGTTATATTACACACCTACGCATTTCATAGACCGTCCATAGGGTTTCATTTATATCATATACCTATGCATTTCATAGACCGTCCATAGGGATTCGTTCATATTATACACCTATGTGACTCATAGACCGTCCATAGGGATTCGTTCATATTATACACCTATGTGACTCATAGACCGTCCATAGGGATTCCATACACAATACACATATGTGTTTCATAGACCGTCCATAGGATCACATATACAATACACCTATGCTTTTCATAGACCATCCATAGGATTCCATATACATCATTGTGCACATAACCATATATAATCTCAAGCGACATAACTAATGCTACTTTTAAGGTCGTAAGTTCCCGGATCATTGGAACACTTCATGTTCTTGCTCATCATGGAGAAACATACCTCATTACATTAGCACACGTATGGTGAATCAATAAGTCAATTTCAATGGCACATGGCCCAAATTCGTTTTCATAAGATTTATCATCATTTAGCATAGGACATCTCTCTTTCACTTCATTATATACCCTCTTGTCAACTTAAGGTCATTAGCTAAGTTCATGATTCTTGGGGACTTAACATCGAAGTCATTTACATTCATTATTTTGGCAAGCGGCCACAGTTCATGTTCATACTATCACTTATGTGTACTAGCCATGGGTGATCATAGGACATTAATAACATTATTATATAAAGGAGTAAAAACTCATCTCATAATCTTTCACACATTCTTTCATTTTATTGGCACTATTGGCCACAAATGTAATTCTCATTCTTGGCACGATGGCCATATTTCTACATCTCATACTCGCTTCTTTCACTTTCAAACATCATCATCATCAACAACAATAAGGCGTTTCAAATCAAGGTTTTTAGTACACATGTGAGCAATTAAGAGTCTTAGGCACATAGAGATTTTTCACAAAATTTGGCATAATAGCCTTCGTTTGAAATTGATTTGAAGTCGAAACATTTTTAATGTACAACCCATACTTTGAACACATTCTCAAATGATAACATAACATGGTAAAAGCATTTGGGATACATATTGAACATATATCTTTCAACACAAGCTTATTCGGAATAGCTTACTCGGGACTTACATAAATTACATGAATACCGTGGGATTCAATTCTAAGAGAGGAGTTTAGCCTACATACCTAGTTTGAGCTTTCCTTAAGTTACTACAACATTCCGGAAATCCTAGCAATCCCGATCTATTTTGAGACATAACAGAATTGTACACAAATTAGGAAGATATTCATGGTTTCAGCTCATTTGAGCATTTTATCAAACACTAGGTGTGCAAATTAATTGCAAGGTCCTTCTACAAGATTTCCTTCACCCCAAAACCAACTCAACACCAAGAGTTCACCCATACTAGTTCAATGATCTTTCCATAACCCTTGATAGTACATACATACATACATAAATAACACTCTCACACCCAAGATTCATACTTTTCATTAACCATCTTCCACCCCAAATTCGAAATTAAAAACTAGGGTATGGAACCTTACCTCTTAGATGAGGGAACCTTACCTCTTAGATGAAGACCTTGTGAGTTGTCCTTGCGAAATCTTCAAGCCTTGAGCAAGAATTGATGAACAAAATGGCTAGGTCTTCTCTTTCTCTCTCTAAGATACTCTCACCTCTCTCTAAAAATATCAGATGAAACTCTTAAAAATGACCCCCAAAGCCTTTTTATAAAAATGGGATCGGGTAAAATTTCCAAAACTTAAACTTGCTGAAACTGGGTCTGCGGCTGCAGACCATACCGCATAATCGATATGCGGCCCGCAAAATGGGCCGCGAAAATAGTGCCCAAAAATTGGACCTGTCTGAACTAGTATGCGACATCCGCTGACCTATTTTGCGACCGCGGACTAGACCGCAGAATTATCTTCCAGATTTTCTCATGCCAAGTCTGCGACTGAAATGCGGTATGCGAAGTGAATATGCGATCCCATAATGGACCGCAGAAATGACCTTCAAATTCAATAATCTTTCTGCTCAACTATGTGATGGATATGCGGCCCACAAACCTGTTCAGCGGTGGCAAACATGACCGCAAAATCGTCTTCTCTTTCCAAAACTTTCTATCAACTCCTCAGTGTATTCTTCAATCCAAAAAGTTCGTATCGCGGCGAGCTTGCGAGCCGCGAAGAATTTCTACAATCATCAAACACATAAGCCTACCTCGTCACTACGAAACCTTAAATTCTTTTACGAAATATTTTTTTACCGGGTCTTACATATCGTTGGTCACCGAGGAAGGGTAGGTTGAAATAACCTAACCCCGAAACTACATGTACCGGTGTAGGAGTGAATCGTGATTGTACCCCTTTATTGGGATGTGATTGATGTGAAGAGAATATTTCCCTTTATTGGGATGAGATGATTTTTAGAAAAGGGTGATATCGATCCACACGGCATTGTGGTGAGACGACCTAGATGGTCGGGTCGTGATCGGACGCCATGCCGCACACAAGGTAGTGATTGTGCTTGAAATTGTGATTGAGATATTGATTGAAATTATGATAATGATTGTGATTGTGGTTGATGTCTTTGGATGAGACGGCCTAGCCGATCGGGCCGTGATCGGACTCCGTACTAAAATTACGGTGGTATATTGGTTCTAAGATCTCCCAACCTAAAATAATAAAAATTTACTTGACACTTATCTTGCTCCTAATTTGATGTTTTAGTATTGTCTGAGGCTTCCATTGATTTATGATTGTCCTTCCTTGTGCTATCATTCGTTCTAACGAGAGGTTGTTTAGTCTTACATACTAGTACTATTCCATATGTATTAACGTCCATTTTTCAGGGGCGCTGCATCTTTAATGGATGCAAGTAGTTCCGCAGCAGGTGGCATTGATCGTTGATAGCAATACACTCTCTTCTCAGCAGATTTGGTGAGCCCCGCTTCATTCGGGGTCGTGTATCTTTTGTCCCATGTGTATTATATTTTGAGGTATAGTCGGGACCTTGTTGCCGGAGTTATCATATAATTTTGTATTCGTAGAGGCTCCGTAGACACAATGTGGGTTATATATGGGTGTTGGAAAAGTCAAAGTAGCCTTGTTGTATTTGAATCACTTGTTGCACTTTAACTATGATTGTGTATGTATTTTGAGACTATAAAATGAAGTGACTAATGGTAATGGAATTGGCATTGTTCATGAAATCCACTCAATATTTAATTAATGATATAAATGTATCTTCTCTTTATTTATGGGCGAGTTGGGTAGAAGGTATTGTAAAGGCTTGCTTGACCGGGGTATCTCGGTTGAGCGTCGGTCGCACTCCCCAAGGACCAACAGCGCACCTAAACGCACATCAAAGGCAGTGGTACTGCCATAAGTGTGCGGCCGCGCATGGGAACAGTCGGGCGCACACATGAGCGCACAGACTGCACGTTGTCTAGTAAAACGTACATAACTGTTTGTACAGAAATCCATTCGGGCTCCACAATATATCATTGAAAAGGTATTTCAAAGGGCTACCACTTTCATGTCTTGAGGTTTCTCAAATTCCTAACAGAATTTCATGGAATCGTGCTTAAATACAGACCTTCCATAAACTTATTCGATTTTATCGAATCTTATGCACCTCACTCTCAGTCTTGATTCCAAAACAACTATTTCCACCCATACTCATCCCGATAGGACTTTATATGTCTAAGATGTCACATTAATACTCATTTAACACGTCCACACCTAATCTGAATTTACGAAGTATTATAAAAAGAATGACACATTTCTATATTTAGAAATAATTTAACTTTGAACTTTTCATTTTACCCATTTTACTCTTAATGGGAAGCTTTTACAAGCAAACAAATATTATGGAACTACAAAGTTTTTACCTCTTAAACTTTTAGGATCACATGTTTTAAAAAAAAAATTTTCTTTCTTAAACTTTGTGTCAAGTCAAACTATCTCATTTAAATTAAACGGATGGGAGTAAGATTTTCTTGTCGATCGATCTCTGCCGTTATCAACTGTAAACATAAAGAGACAACTCATTTTTAGAAAGAATTCCAAAAAAATAATGCAATGTTAAACTTTTATTGAATCACACGAATATAGACCGTCAAAGAAATAGGGAGTTAGTAACCACGCAATTATTTAATTCATTTTAGTTAAAGTCGATGTACATTTTCAAAGTCGGAAAAAAAAATAGAAACAATGAAATTGAACTATAGATACTACCAACTTACCAAGTGCGGCGCTTGTAGTATGTGAATTGTGAAGTGCTATTCATATGTATGAAACAAGGGTAAAACAATAAAAAGCAAAAGGGACCTGAATTACTAAAAGCCATGATCTTGGAAGATTTGGGATTTAGAATCCCAAAATCTCTGCTTATCAATATATATAATGAGTTTCATCGTAGAAAATTGAGCAATTCCACCAGTTAAACTGACAAGTTAATATGCAAACTGAGAAAGCTGTCCAACCTATACATGGAATGTAGGATTGAGCAAAAAGCATCAACAGAGTCTCAACTACTTTGCTACTCTATTTACTAATCCGTGAAAAAGAAAAATGTTTACTTCTTGAACCAAATGGCAAAAGCATATGGCCACTTCAAGAAGCCGAGCGACAATGACAATGACACGAGGTTTGGCTTCTTCTCTAACTCTTTAAAAGTTAGAATAAGTGCATTTATATATATACCCGATAAATGAGATATTCTTCTCCAATATGGGACAATGTTCCTTGGTAAAGGAGGAAAATTCAAAAATTTATTTTTCCCTCCATTTCCGAATCACACTATTTTGAGCCAAACACCAACAAATGTATCTCTTGAATGTACAGATAGACATACAATATTCACTTCCCCTGCTCATGGACCCATCTTTGATCTTTTAAAAAAAAATTGAAAGAAGAAGAATATAGGTACACAGTGAAAGAAGTTAATTCTTTACATGAACTAAAATAATTTTCTCACTTGAGGGTTTGATGAGTGTGGAGAAACATTCTACCAAGAAATTGTCATATTGAATTTACAATCTACTTTTGATGATACACATTTAGCAAAAGATATCTCATTTACAAGTACCTGAGTTTCTTTAGTGTATAATACTCATTGACTCAACTACTTCATTCATGTCTTTGCTAGTGGAGAGGAAGTTCTATTAGGGGGCACAAGAGATTTTGCATAAGCAATGGGCAAGGTGAGAAGCTTCTTTGGCTTGCTAACATAAGCCCTCCTTGTGAAGTTGTTGTAGTCGTTGGCTTCAATCTCGTCCAATATCTTGCGATACAACAGCAGCGCTGTTAACACCTGCAACGACAAAAAAAACAGCTCAATGCCATACTAAGTACAGTAGAATATAGATTCAGAATATAAGCTCAATGCAAATTTAGACCATCAATGCATAGGTACGTCGATCAAGCTCTCTTTCCTCTGTGGTGTAGGAATATAAGCAGAACATAATAGAGAAGATATGAGCACAACTAGAGGATTTAACAAGCATGATACAACACCACAAGAGAATGCTGTTGAAAATTGGAAACTATGATACCTATCAATGCCTATCAGTGTATGGTTTTTCGATAGAAAACTGAGTTCATACTGATTTTTTCTCACAACCATATCTCCTAGCTAGCAGGTAAAAAAATAGGAAGAAAAACTACTGGATACAAGCGATCAATTGTAATCTTAAGACTACTTACAGGCCATCTACTAGCAGAGTCCAGTTCTGTGACACCTTTCTCTGACTCATCAAAGAATTTCCTCGCCCTCTGAATTTGTTTCTTCATAAAGTTCCTCCACTTATCAGTCACTCTTCCAGCAAATATGTCTTCGTCGGAGAGCCCTGCCTGTGCTAATTCATCTTGAGGCAAGTATACTCTTCCTCTTCTGGCACTGTATAACAAAAGGAAATATGTAAGAATAGAACCAAATTTTAAGCACTTAGTGTAGCTATACTAAGAGATGATTAGCCACAGAGCTTTTCCCAACTCTTTTGACCTTTTTTGGCATGTTCAATGTGCATTAAATGTAGTTTCATGCTTACTCTTCTCCTACATCTCTGAGTATATTGGTTAGTTGATTTGCAAGCCCTAAAGCCAAAGCAGCATTATATACACTCTCTGTTGTTGCCTTTGATTCAGGTGCAATACCCATAACTGGAACACTCATCAATCCTACAGTACCAGCAACATAGTAACAATAGAGATATAGCTCATCGAAAGTTTTGTATCTGGATTTCCACAAGTCCATACGCATTCCTTCAATCATATCTCTGAATGGCTGCAAGCAAACGACTTCCTTGAATTATGTGAATGAAGACCATATTCCGAATACAGTAACCTAAGAGAAGCTATCATGACAAGTGTTTTATTTTGAAGTGTAAATTACTTCAAATGCAACATGAACCCTTTCTGAATCTTAAAACCACAAATAGGATATAAGAGAGGTTATTGAACACAAAACACACATAGGATAGAGGGGTTATCGAGGACTGATGAATACAGAATAAGAACACAACCTGAATCCTCACATATATGCCAATGACAGTAAAGGTAAACGAATTCCTAATAATCAAATTTGATGGAATTACTAGAAAAATATGCTTAAAAGACGGAGTAGTTGCAGAAAAGAGTAGAATTCTGACACAGGAGAGGATACAGATGATCAAAAGAAATAGTAACCTGAATATCAACAGGAAATCTGGAGACAGTATCGGATAAAGCAGCATCAAGCATATCAAATGGCCGCCCACTGAAAATATCTTCCAGCCTGGTCTCCCACCTATCTAAAGCTTGCGGAGTTATGTGGGATGCATTAGGGCCATCAACAAGCTCATCCGTTCTCCTGCACCACACTGTTTAAAAACAACACAACAAGAAGCTTTCTTCAGATGAAAATTTCTTTATACATGCACTAATACAAAATTGCTGTCAATTCACCAAGAGTTTGCCATAATTGACTATTCACAAAGTGTCAATTTAGTACTTCTTGGAAGCAGAATATTTGAAAGTATTACAAGTACCAGATATATCACAAAGTGTGACACTATATTTTGAAGACTGCCAAACAAAATGGGAAAGAGAAACAATCAGATCACCAGTTTTAAATTATCTGAAGTCTACTCTCTTTACCCTTTTGGACTGTATAAAGAACATAAGATTGTTTTTACACAAAGAGTGTAACCTCCGGCCAGCCAAAAGTAGAAATTATGTCAAAGATTCCCAAGAAAGTTTGATAAAACTAACAGTAAAAGCATGTTACACTTCCCTGAATCCTGTCTAATAATTTTTGCACTTCTTCCACTCATTTTGACTCTTGTATATGGTATGAGAAATTAGACCTCTTCTCTTTATGCATATAATAATGCCTCAGAAACTAGTAGAGCGCACATGCACCTATAATATTCCTTTTTATGTCCCCAGTTAAGCACAGATATACACACCATATATTGCCCAGATAGCTCTTCTTCTCTCTGGGGTCATTAGCTTGGTTCCTGAATAAGTACCAAAATAAAGATCAAATTTTGTTTTCATCAATTGGTCCCTTAACCAAGAATTTGTAAACTAAAGATAAAAGAGGCTGAGACTGACCTAAGTAAAATGTCTTTGCATACTCTGCACATACTTCGCCACAACGATCATATGCTTCACTCAACAAGCCCAAATTCCCTGGAACAACAATATCCGGCTTCACTTCTAAATCATCGGTAGATCTCAGCTGCCTCTTCACTAAAGCTGCCTGCTTTAATACCACATCATACACCTTTTTCTCTGATGACACAGTCATTTCTCCAGCTGGGCTAGCCACCAAACTGGACTGTACAGAGAAAGTGCTTCCATTTTCAGTTCTTGATCCTCCCAAGCATGCATATCTTGAATCTGCAATTAAAGAGCCAAAATTCCACCTTTGTCGTCTCCCGCCTTTCTTGATTCTCCCATTCCACATCAAATTCCTACCTCGAGCTAGGAACCTGGATGATACAAAGACGCGGTTTCCATCTCGGACTGAATCCAAGAATCCTGTCCCATTTGAGACCTCGGAATTGGGAGAAACAATCCACAACAAAGCAACAGACATGCTCATGAAACAAGAAACCTCTGTGGTGTAAAACAATTCCCAAGTTTTTTTCTTTCCTTTATGTTACCTTCTCACCTCAGCCTATTTTATCAAAAAACCAATACTTGTAGATATCCACTAGAGTCTATCCACTAATTTCAAGCAATATCCACGATTATAAAAATCGCATATAAGAAAGTGAACCGACTTTGCCTTACACAAGCAGAGGTAAATGCACTCATCAACAAGAAGCAAAACCTGTTGTTCTTTCTGGGTTTCTGCACAATGAGATAAACCAAATACTTATCATTTATACTGGTGATACAGTTACGACCACTCAAAAGTATAAAAATTCAAACTTTGTAATTAAAACATATCCCAGTACCAAGAATCAAATCAGCAACAGCACAACAAAAGGATCTTTAAAAAATTATTGAAAGCACGAATAGAAAAAACTTGCAAATGAGAAAATACTTCACACTTTTTTCAGGTAATGGGAGCTTTCTATATATAGTCAATTAGATTATAATAAGCTCGCTTTCTAACTTTGGTACACGTAGAAACTGTTTGGAAAAGGCAAGAGTCTTCAAATCTTTAATATTATAAACTATAAAGCAACAAACCAGAACAATGAAAGCTACAGGGGAATTAAACAACCGACCTGTTAATATTGAAAGAAGCCTCCAATTAGTTGAAGAAGGTTTTTAACATATCAACATCAGTTGAAAGAAAGTAACAATGGCCACTCAAATCAACTTACAATACGAGACCGTCTTCTTGCTGCTGATCTCAATAGAATTTAGCAGCTTTTCCTTGTTTAAATTACACTCCTATATTTTTTGAGACATTTTATACCATTCAATTTTTTAAATTTGTTTTTTGTTAGTACTAGTTCTTGTTCACTCGTACTGATTAAAATTGAGTGATTCAGATTCTATCTCCTCTTTTTAGTTTCCACCTTTTTACCATTTTTCCACTAACATTAAACTTTTTTGGTCAGAGCAAAGACACGTAAATTTCATACTATGGTCCCACTGTATGTCTAAGATGTTGTTTCAGGATCCAAGTGCATCCTTATTAGGTCAAATTTTCTCAGTACTTTTATGTAAGAGTGCACCTTACATCTGACAAAATGTAACATTTCAAGTGATGGTATTGTAAGGTTTGTTAGATAAGTAAAGCAAATTGACCTAATTCCCACTCATCTGCTGTGTTACTAGCTTAATTTAAAAGATGAAAGTCTACACAAGCTAACTAACTTTCTGATTGATACTATGCATAAAAGCGGAGCCGCATTAAAGCAAGGGGTCATACCTTCCTCAAAAAATTTACTTGTTATATAAAATGCATGATAATACAAAGATTGAATCCCCTTCACTTGAATCAGAAGCTTGAATAGCCTATTTTTGTAAAAGTTGTATCCCCGTAATGATCAAGAGTTGGCTCAATCCGTTCAATGTTCGATCNATATATATATGGTTATAACTATTAAGGAGTTTAAGAAATAAATAAAACTTTTAAAACTTGTCTTTTGATACGTGTCTTAGACATTTTGTGGTTATAAATTATTTCACTAAAATGAGAAGTTTAAAAATAAATTATTACTAAATATAAAAATATGACATTCTTAGGATAAAAGGAGTTATAATAATAAATTATTAGAAAAAACGAAGATCAGGAACTAATATCACTTCGTTTAGCTACACCTCTATTTTATCTTTTATTCTCGGCATGTGGTAGGATTGTTCCCTAAAATTATCTATTAATTTTCTTACTTTAATTGTATAATAATAATAATAATAATATGTGCATTATCGAGTTCATTATAACACCAACTTTAGTAATGGGCTAAGAAGCTGTGTGTCGAGTGGACACGTGTAACCACAGCCCAATCAATGGGAGATAACGTTATCAAAATAAAAGTGGGCAAGCTGGTGGTCATGTACACGTGTCAGTCGGTAAGTGGATAATAATCTTTTACCCTTTGCCCTTACTCTCTACTTTGTTCGGAGTGGGCCCACAGACGCGAAAGTGCCAATTCCAAAGTCAAGTGGACTGTGGGCCCATATTGCGGGGTGTACTGGGACATAGACCAGAAGATCTGGACCTAATTTGTCTTAAATAATAAAAAACGTTAAATATGGGCCAATAGCCCAACGACGTAGGCGTGAGTTATCCACGTCAAGTTGGTTTGAGGCTTATCGCGTGCTCTATGTTTGACACGTAGCAGTTTGCACCTTTACCTTCTTCTTTTTAAAATTAAAAAAAATGGTATTTCTGTAATTTATCAGTGGCGAAGCCACATGGTCAGGTCACGAGGGTGGTTAACTGGTCACTCTTCGTCGGAAAATTATACCATATATATAGGTAAAATATTATATTTTAAAGATATATAACACATATTGAACATCATTTGTCGAAAATTTTTGTTTAATTATTTCAAATTTAAATACCCTTGAGAAAATTCTTTATCTTTGTCACCCACCGCATAACACAGTTAACTTTAAAGAGCCATTCACCGGTGGGAAGTAGCAAATTAATCATCGCTCTTAAGTAAACGAGATAAAACCTTTGGTCCTTTGGAAAACTTCGGTGATTTGGATAAGAGATTTTTAAAAAGATTTAAAAAATAAGCAACAAGTTGAAGAAATTGGTCAGCTCTACTTTCATTTGCACATGGCTTTTTAGTCATAGAGTATCATCTGGTGCATAAAAAAATAAAAATAAAACTATATTAAAAAAAATTCACATATAAAAAGGGAGATCCAATCATGGCATCATGCCCATATTGGTTAGGAGAATGTCAAATTAGAACTTATAACGTTGCGTTTAGAATTGTGGTTTGCAGATGGGATAATCAAATTGTCCTGCACTATTCTATATTTAGATTTCTCCTCCAACATAATCAAATTAATTTTGGAATTCGTAATAATGATGAAACTTCCTCTGATAATACAATAGAATTTTCTTGACATATAATAAACAAATATGGAAAAGCGAACGACTTATAATTAAGAGATCATTGAAATTTGTAAATATATAAATTTGTAGGTAAAAATGTAATTTGTCAACCACCAAACTATCCCTTCAGGATGTCAAAGAGTAAATTTCAAAATGCAAGGATCATTATTAAATGTAAGTGAATTTTCCTTTCCAGAAATGCTAGTGACTTGAAATGTAGCATAACAGGATCCAATAGTGCTTCACTGATATGATATATTCTATAATTAGTCATTGAGACGAGGTTGATTACACGCAATCTTTGACGTTGAAATCTGTAATTTTTTTCTTACAAAATTCTATTGTGTGATGGAATCGTTGATGTTGAGTTGAGCATATGTTATTATTGGAAAAGCAACTGAATTCTGTAGTGATGATACCACGTACTTTACTTATAGCAAGCTAGAATGCGTTATTTTCTTTTCTTTTTCTTTTTTTGAGTGAAAACCATATGAATATCAAATTCAATTTGAATTATTGTAAACCACCTAATCTAATTTAGTAATAGTAATAGTACAGTATAAAAGATCATAAAGAAACGATTGATTACTTTATGTTTTATGTAATTTTGTTATAACCTCATGATACCTATTTCTATTTCTAATTATACCATTCCTTTAAGTAGAAAATATGCATACTCTAGTGCTTCATTTCTAAAAGCAGAACTTTATAACATTATAGACATATAATATTTTATTTTTTTAACACAATATAATCTCTAATTTTATTCTCCAAATTTAATTAAATATACAAAAGTCAACATGCATGACAAATAGCTTAGTAATTAAATTTAAATAGTTTGCATTTTAACTATTCAGTTAACAGTCATGTTATTGAAAAGACTACAAGCCAAAAGAAAAGGACAAAGGAGCAACTAAAGTGTTGGATCTCCTTAACTTTGTTGAAAATAAGGATAATCCGTTCGGCTGAAAAATCGACAAAGGTTTATTGGTTGCACCTTCTCTGTGTTATTTACGTGCAGCCGTGTAGGGTTCTAATCTCATTAAAAAGCTTCTGTGGTAGAGCATGATGAAAAACAAAAATTTATATGAATAATATCAATTAGTTTGGATTAAGCTTAATGTATGTTAGTACATTTTCTGCAGATCTATTTTTTTTTTTGTATGTCATGTAGTTTTATTGAAGATTTATATGGCAGTAAAAATAGATAGAAAACTTTTAGCTCTTTTTATTTGTATTCTATCCTGTTTTATATTTCCTTTGCTTCAATTTATGTGACTTAGTTTGACGTAACACGAAATCTGTGATTTATTTTTTTAAAACTTGAGTAGTCTTAAGTAGGGGTGTACATAGGTCGGGTTGGTTCGGAATTTTTAATTATCAAACCAAATAAATGGTGTCGGATTTTTAAATTTATAAACCAAACCAAACCAAACCAACAAAGTCGGGTTTTTCAATCTCGGGGTTTTCAGATTTTTTGGGGGGGGTTTCCGGTAAAGTTTTTATAGCATAAAATAAGTAACTTGTGCTCCAAATATTTCTTAAGTCCTAGTAAAATACAACTATATAATGTGTTTTCCAAGAAACTAACACAATAATATGAGAT